CACGGTTCCAGCCAGACTCAGTCTCGTTTGTTGCAAATGCATGTCCAGAAAAATCAATCAGGGATTCATGTCCTGCTTTTCTACAATTTAGCAGCAAGCATCAAACAGCAGCAATGTCAGCCATGAGACCTAACTTTTATACTAGTTTCAGCTATGCCCTATAAAGTTTTTTTTTTTTCTCAAATCCATAAGGTCACAAAGACCTTCTCCTTCAATAACATAACTTAGATGTACAAATTAAAATTCCATTTCCTGCATCCTTTCCATTCATAAGATGCAATTAAAGTAGAGGATCTAATATACTCTGTGATGTTGGCAAGGACCTTAATCTTTATTTGCCTCAATGGGTGCTGCCAAAATACCTCTTTCATTTATTAAAACCATTTGTGATCACCACCAACTTTGAGCTGAATGGCATCCCAAGGCCAATATATTCATTCATCCACTTGTTTCAAGAAACAAAAACCACCAGGTGAGCCATCAACTGATTGCATGTTAAGTCGCTTTAGTCGTGTCCCACTCTTTGTGAACTCACTGACTGCAGCCCACCAGGCTCTTCTTTCCATGGGGATTCTTCAGGCAAGAGTATTGGAGTGGGTTGCCCTGCCCTCCTCCAGGGGATCTTCCTAACCAGGGATTGAACCCTCATCTCTTACATCTCCTGCATTGACAGGCAGGTTCTTCACCACTAATGCCACAAGGGAAGCCTGTGCCAGTTTTTTATATTAGCATATTTATCTCCATATTGAAACAAAATACACAATAATGAAAACTTTTTTTTTTTTTTTCAGGAAACTGCCCTCAGCCAGAAACCCCTTTTCTTGTCAATTTAGCAAAGGTACGTTGTAACTAACTTTTAAATAAGGCACCCCCAAGCTCTGGCCCTAGCACATTTTTCTAATCTTTGATCACACAATACCTTGCCTAACCTGTTGGCTCTTTCTGTAGATCAAAGAAGTAGAAATGAAGAATAAGTGTTTAACAGAGGACCAGATTTCTTCCCTAGCTTCCTCTTCAGTCATCTCATGAACAAACTGTGTGAACTGTGTGAACAAGATAACATCTGAAGATAGATCACAAGAAGCCGACAAGCTTGCAAGCAGTTGGGGGATGCTGACGGTGCTGACCCCCATCTCAATGAGTAACTAACAGTGGGTACATCCCTGTTTCTCTTTAACAACTGTCATGGCTGAGCAGAATCTTCAGAGCTGGTTTTGAGGGACATGAGTCCATCTCTTCCCCATATTGCCAGCTTTCTGATCAAAAGCAACTTTCCTTGCTACAAACACTTGCCTCTCTATGTTGATTTTTGAGCAGCGAGAAGCTGGACCTGAGTTTAGTAACAGTAAGCCTCTATAGAACATGCAAAACTGTGCCAGCAGTGACAGGGAGATTGTTCTGCAGTTTTAGCCTTTTGTTTGGGATAGTAGTCAGAGTTTGACTACCTGTGGCAATACACCCTCAGAAATCAAGCTGGACTTGATTTACTCCTGGGAGTAGAAGCCCACCTGGCCACCCGCCTTGGGCTGCTGGTCATTGCAGGCTAGGAATCACAGAAGGCAGCTACTGTGGTAGGAAGCAGGCCCAGGGAAGAAAGCTCCTGGTTTCACTCTGTGGGAGGTGAGAAAATGCACACTGATTTTCCTCTGTTTGTCAGGCCCCTCCACACAATCTGGGCTTCTCTTGTGGTTCAGGTGGTAAAGAATCTGCCTGCAATGCTGGAGACCTGGGTTCAGTCCCTGGGTTGGGAAGATCCCCTGGAGAAGGGAACAGCTACCCACTCCAGTATTCTGGCCTGGAGAATTCCATGGGGTCACAAAGAGTTGGACATGACTGAGCAACTTTCACTTTCACGCAAATTATCTCATTTATTTCCCACAAGCGTGTGAACTAGGTATTATCCCACTGTGTAGATGAAACAACCAAGGATCTGAAAGTAGCTTGACCCAAGTTCAGAGAGCTACTAAGCTATGAAACCAGGCTTTCAACCCAAGTCTGGCTTACTCTGGGGTCTCTTTCTACTTCAACAGTTTTCATGTATACTCAGTAAGATCTCTGAGTCATAGAAGGGCACTTATATACATAATACAGAAGCAGCATAACAACTCTCAAATATCCCAAATAAGTACAGTGTGAAAATACAAATAACAAAGTGGAGAAATGCACAGTCTTCCAACCATTATCTTAGATCATTAGAGGAGGAAAAAAACCCTTTTGTGATTATTTTATGTATAGGCTTCCCAGGTGGAACTAGTGGTAAAGAACCTACCTGCCAATGCAGGTTAAATGAAAGAGACATGGATTTGATCCCTGGGTAGGGAAGATCCCAGGAGGAAGGCATGGCAACCTGCACCAGTATTCTTGCCTGGAGAATCCCATCGTGTCTGACTCTTTGCCATCCTGTGGACTGTAGCCTGCCAGACTTCTCAGTCCATGGGATTCTCCAGGCAAGAGTACCAGAGGGGTTGCCATTCCCTTCTCCAGAGGATCCTCGTAACCCAGAAATCGAACCTGGTTCTCCTGAATTGCAGGCAGATCCTTTACCATCTGAGCAATTAGGGAAGCACATAGATAGACAGATACATGGATAGAGATATACCTATCTATAGATATAGATACAGGCTCCGAATGGCAGGTTTGGTGAATGATAACAAAAACACTATGTTAAGGGTGGAAGCTGGAAAAAAAAACAGTCCATTGGAATCCTGTCCTTGATGGCAAAATCCTCGACTTGATGGCAATTCCACATTTGCCGAAAGTGGTACCCACGTGATGACCCAAGTAGAAACAGCCCAGCTTCTGTGTATGTGTGTGTGTGTGCTCACTTGTGTCTGACTCTTTGTGACCCCGTGGGCTGTAGCCCACCAGGCTCCTCTCCCATGGGATTTTCCCAGGCAGGTATACTGGAGTGGCTTGCCATTTCCTTCTCCAGGAGAGTTTCCTGATTCAAGAATTGAACCCACATCTCCTGTGTCTCCTGCATTGGCAGGCAGCTTCTTTACCACTAAGCTACCTGGGGAGACCTGCCCAGCTTCTGAGAACCCTCCAAATGGGTCTGTTAATGATTTGTTTAAAGTATTTGTTGATTCAATTCCCTCCTAAAAATTAATCATACAGAAAATCTATTAGATTCTGTCTTAACAACAGAGGTCATGTCTAATTTATCTTTATTTTTTATTTACTTTTAAAAAAAATTTGTGGGAAAAGTCACATAATATAAAATATACTCTTTGAGCCATTTTTGACTGTATATTTCAGTGTCACTAAGTACATTCACATTGTTGTGAAACTCTCACCATCATCCATCTCCTGAATTCTTCAATTTCCTAAAAGGGAACTCTGTGCCCATTAAACACTAAGTCCTCCTTCCTCCTCCCTTCCCCTCCCTCCACTCCCCCGCCTCCCCACCCTGAAGGTATCTTGGTATGGTGGCTGTTTATTAAGTGTCAGGTTTAGAAAGGAACATCAGCCATGTGAAACCTACCCTTCAAGAATTGGCATCATGTTAGCTGACTTGGCCAGTCAGGCCTTCACTGGAAGCTTGCCAGTTAATTGGGACGAGAGCAAGGACACAGCCCATTTCCCCAACCAAGGGCTTAACAGTCTGGCTCAGGGAAAATAACATAGTTTTAAAAATGTATACTACACAGAAGCCCCAGTGGCTCAGGGGTAAGGAATCTGCCTGCCAATGCGGGAGATGCAGGTTCAATCCCTGGGTCAGGAAGACCTCCTGGAGAAGGAAATGGCAACCCACTCCAATATTTTTGTCTGGAAAATCCCATGGATAGAGGAACCTGGCAGGCTACAGTCCACAGGGTCGCAAAGAGTTGGACATGAATGAGCACTCACACACACAGTGATACTATACTGTGATACCAAAAAAGTGTGACTGAGATCTCACTCTACTGAGAAACTATTATGCTTGGGACATCTTAGTTCACAAGGATTCCTTTTTCTGATGTCCAGATCTTTCTCCAGAGAAAGCAGATATGTCTCTACAAAACACTCATCCTCTTGGCTCTAAGCCCTTCATGCAGGACTGGACCACTGGGCAACCAAAGCTGAACTGGCTCTATCAGATTCTTCTCTGTGGGAAGTCAGAATTTCCCATCAAGGGTCTCCTGGTTAGGAGTCCTTGCAGAATACTGTTGGCATTGATACTTGAGAGGAAGTTTATGCTGTTTGGTCCCTGAAGTCGCTAGAGCTGCCCTTCTTTCTTCCCTTCTGAAGTTTTATTTGTTCATTTTTTCCTGGAATTCTCTTATATCCTTTCAATGAATTCCTTCTCTTGATTTCCTCAGAGGTGGTTTCTACTAAGTGCAACCAAAAGAAATTTCAACACTTTAGAAGTGCAGCTAGATGACTCTAAGAATCAGTGTAGCCAGAACTAAGTGAGCTGAAACTGGAAAGAAAGCAAATATGCAAAGTTGGATATAGAAAGAAACATTTTTTTGTAGTACAATAGAGTGAAACAAAGTGACTCAAAGTGAAGAAGTGGACTAAATGACATGGAAAACATAGCATGGAGTCAATTGGGAGACTGCGAGTGAGGAGGAGAGCTCTGTTGCCAGGGGAACCATGGGCTCCATGCCAACAGTCAAGAGAAGATAATTGTGATGGAGGAGGCTGGCCAGATACCTAGGTGAAATGTAAGGGGTTCTTTTTTTGTTGTTGTTCCTTTGATTTGGGACTTTATGAAGTAACATTCCGTCTTTCAGGTGCATGTCACAGTAACTTTGTGCAGCGGCTTGGCATATCATAGTACTGATGGTTTTGCTATACGAAATGACATTTAACAAGGAACATCTTAAATAGAACTTCAAATCTGATGGATTTCGAGGGATGAGTGACCCTAGTGGCTGTCACAGGACAGCTAAACCCCACCTGCAACATGGGATTACCTGGGGCTTGGCCAAGGTCTTCCATGGTGGCTAGACCTGCCAGAGGACTGGTTGAGACAGTTATGATCAAATGCAACATCTCATTGGCAGGAGAGATCTCCTGGAACCATACACTGACAAAATTGGGGAAGATTACTTGATTTGAGTCTTTTATTTTGGAAGATGCAGACCAAGCTCTTTGTTGGCCCTTAGGGGTGGGTGGGTCCAGCCCATCTCAGTGTCAGCATGAGGAAGTGGTCCACACAGGAACAGCAATTGTGACATCACAGCCCATCCTGAGTCTGGTTTCCTCAGATCCTCATCCACTGCTGCAGCTTTTGGATTCAGTTCCCTAGTCCTGTCAGCCCAGAGAAGCGTGTGAGGCTTTTATTAATTTTACTTATTCAACATAGTGAAAGCAAAGTTAGGTATATTTTGCTTTAAAAATTTAGTTCCAAGGTCCAGTTTTCCTGAACCAAGTTCATACATATCAAAAGCCCAAGAAATCAGAATGCCATGTGTTTTTTGGCTAAATCTGTTTCTATCATATCTTCTATTCAATGTCTTCCAATATGTCCTTTGAACCCTTCCAGTAAATTTTCTTAGCGTGAGGTGTCAGAGACTAAAAGGTACTTTTGAGAGTGATGACTGAATGTATTTGACCAATTGGATCTTCTTCAATTAAAAGTTAAGGCTGATGTAGTAAATCAGTAGTTTACTGTGGAGAACAGTGTAGAGGGCAGTATGGAGGTTACTTAAAAAACTAAGAATGGAGTTACCATATGACCCAGCAACACCACTCCTGGATAAAAATCCAGAGAAAGCATAATTTAAAAAGACACATGCACCCCAATGCTCACTGTAGCTCTATTTATAATAGCCAGGGCAGAGAAACAACGTAAATGTTCATCAACAGAGGAATGGATAAAGATGTGGTACATATATACGATTAGCTATTACTCAGTCATAAAAAGGAATGAAATTGTGCCTTTAACAGAGATGTGGATAGACCTAGAGACTGTCACACAGGGTGAAATAAGTCAGAAAGAGAAAAACAAATATTAATATCATATAAAATTGCTTATATGTAGAACTTAGGAAATGGTACAAATGAATTTACTTGCGAAACAGAGATAGAAACACAGATGTAGAGAACAAATGTGTGAATACCAAGGGGGTAAGGATCGTGGGATGAATTGGGAGATTGGGATTGACATATATCTACCACTATATATAAAACAGATAACTAATGAGAACCAACTGTATATAGCACAGGGAACTCTACGCAATGCTCTGTGGTGATCTAAATGGGAAGGAAATCCAAAAAAGAGGGATATATGTATACATACAGCCGATCCAATTTGCCGTACAGCAAAAACTAACATGACATTGTAAAGCAACTATAGTCCAATGGAAATTTCTTTAAAAGCCCATGACCTCCTAAATTTTACCATATGAGAACAAATTATGCCTCCAGAAAACTTGACATTGGCTATCAAAATCTAATAGTATTAGTAATTTGCTTCAGGGCTCACTGACCCAGTAAGTAAATGCTTTCCTTAAAAAATCATTTCTCACCATGCTAAAAGCATTTAGAGAAATGGTTAATTCTTAAAATGATAAGCAACAATTTTCATTTCAGTAGGTTTCTATAATTATAATTTTCACTGAGGACTAAGATTTAGTTCTAAAAATTTAAGTGCTAAATAAACAGCATACCTGAAACTTCAGTCCAGACTCTGTCCTGGCCCAAAGGAAACTGATGAACAATTTTTCATTTGCACAACTTTTTCTTTTTGTCGGAGTCCTAAGTGAAGCACAGAAATATCCCCAGAAAATCCATCCTCTTGGTATTTGCAATGTGGCAGGAAGTTCTGAAAGTCTTCTGAGAGCAGGTTAGGGAAGTTCTATGACATTTCCTGCCTACTGTAGGATATTTATCCCAACCCAAACCTTGTTTTTTAAAAAGATTCATTTATTACTAGTTTTGGGTTTCACACTGGGCTTTTCCACTGACCACAGAAATGCAGCAACAATCTTTGCTTGAGCCTCTGCAGAAAATATTAGACATCTGAAGCAGAATCTTGAATTATAACAGCTCTTAAGTAACCAGTTCATCTTAATAACAAATCTCCCCCACAAACTTTCCAAAACCATTCCAAGGCATTTGGAACCTGTCTTTTCACATTGTTGCTTTGAGAACAAAATGAGTTTCTCTTGCAAGATTAATTAAAATGGACATGTTGTGGAAGCACAAACAAAACTAGAATTTCCTCACTATAAATGCTTGTCATGACAACATTTGCTATAATGTCAGTCTGACATCTTGCTTTATTTCTTTAAATATGAAAAAACAAATAAGGGAGGAAGACTTGCAGTAAAAGGAAGAAAAAATTATGTCACCCCCATTCCTTATCACAAACATAAAGGAATGAAGGATTAAGAGTTCTCACTTCTCTCCAGCTGGATAAAAGTTGCACTAGAAAAAAAACAAAGAGACAAATTTGGCATTAATAAGAAGATTATTAGCAATAATTAATACAGAGAAAAATGCTTTCTGAAGACCACTGTTTGGCAAATTTGTTATTTTTCAGTTGTTAAGTCTTGTCTGACTCTTTGCAACCCCATGGTTACATCACGCCAGACTTCCCTGTCCCTCACTATCTCCTGGAGTTTGCTCAAACTCATGTCAATTGAGTTGGTAATGCTATCTAAACATCTCATCCTCTGCTGCCCTTTCGCCTTCTATCTTTCCCAGCATCAGGGTCTTTTTCAGTGAATTCAATCTTCACATCAGGTAGCCAAGTATTGGAGCTTCAGCTATAGCATCAGTCCTTCCAATGAATATTCAGGGTTGATTTCCTTTAGGATTGACTGGTTTGATCTCCTTGCTGTCCAAGGGACTCTCAAGAGTCTTCTCCAACACCATGATTTGAAAGCGTCAGTTCTTCAGCCCTCAGCCTGTTTTACGGTCCAACTTTCACATCCATACATGACTACTGGAAAAACCATAGCTTTGCCTATAGTGACGTTTGTTGGCAAAGTGATGCCATTGCTTTTTAATATGCCATCTAGGTTTGTCACAGCTCTCCTTCCAAGAAGCAGGCATCATCTAATTTTATGGCTGCAGTCACCACCTGCAGTGATTTTGCAGAAAAGAAAAGCTGACACTGCTTCTACTTTTTCCCCTTCTATTTGCCATGAAGTGATGGGACCTGAGGCCATGATCTCAGCTTTTTTAATGTTGAGTTTTATGCCAGCTTATTCACCCTCCTCTTTCACCCTCATCAAGAGACTCTTTAGTTCCTCTTCACTTTCTGCCATAAGGGTGGTATCATCAGCGTATCTGAAACTCCAGCCTGTGACTCATCCAGCCTGGCATTTTGCATGATGTACTCTGCATTTAAGGTAAATAAACAGGGTGACAGTATACAACCTTATCATACTCATTTGGCAAATAATCACAAACAATACAAAATAAGTGCATGTATAACTAAAACACATTGCTGTATGCCTGAAATTAACACAACATTGTTAATCAACTAGACTCCAATGTAGAATAAAAATGTAAATGTAAGTCCTTCTAATGACTTACCTGCAGAGTAAGAGATAAGAATATGAGGCACTTTATAAAAGAAATAAGGTGTAAGTTCTTTCTGAAAATAGACTTGATTTTTGATGATTGAAAAAGACTTAGGGAAGGAAAGAAGAAAGTCTTCAAATTTGAGTATTATATGCAAAGTCAAGGAGAAACTGACTTGAGGAGGAAGATGATACGTTCCTTGGGAATGGAAATGTTGGGAGGGGTTCAGCCTCTTCCCCATGCAGAGTCTGATAGAGATGGAGACATGGAACTGGAAACTCAGGGGGCCTTCTGGGCTGACAATGGAGGCAGCAGAGGTCAGGGTGGGGGCATTAAAGGAAGTCGTGGTCAGAGTTGAGCCCATTCAGGTAACTGAAGGACGGGCTTGCTGTAGACATGTAACTGCAATATTGCAGAGTGGATCAGGCGAAGCATTTCATGAAAAACATGAAGAAAAGAAGAAAGAAAAACAAGGAGAGAGTGGTATTGTGAAAGACAAAAAAAGGACCTATGTACAATGAGTGTAGACAGCAGTGACAAATGTTCTGGGGGAGTAAGGGTCTGAGTGTGTGGGGCGTTCGGACCCTGTGGCCTTATGCCTGCAGCGCTCTTATAAGGTGGAGAAGGCAATGGCACCCACTCCAGTACTCTTGCCTGGAAAATCCCATGGGAGGAGGAGCCTGGTAGGCTGCTGCAGTCCATGGGGTCTCTAGGAGTCAGACACGACTGAGTGACATGTTTCACTTTCATGCGTTGGAGAAGGAAATGGTAACCCACTCCAGTATTCTTGCCTGGAGAGTCCCAGGGATGGGGGAGTCTGGTGGGCTGCCGTCTATGGGGTCGCACAGAGTCAGACACGACCAAAGCGATTTAGCAGCAGCACCAGCAGCTCTTTTTTTTTTTTTTCCCATTTATTTTTATTAGTTGGAGGCTAATTACTTTACAATATTGTAGTGGTTTTTGTCATACATTGACATGAATCAGCCATGGATTTACATGTATTCCCCATCCCGATCCCCCCTCCCACCTCCCTCTCCACCCCATCCCTCTGGGTCTTCCCAGTGCACCAGGCC